AAAATGATACTTGTGAGTTAAAATCTTGATTTTTTTAGGACTAATTACACATAAAAAAACTCATTTCAATTAAGAGGTTTTTCCATAGCGAAACTCAAAACGACATTAACAGATATCAAAATTTTCTTAGTATTGTAATTTTTTAACATTTAATACAAGTTTATTTATTTCTACATGGATTATATTTTCCAATAAAAAAAACCTTACATTTTTAAACATAAGATTTACTTTATTCACTTAAAATATTGATTCTGAATGTATAAAAAATACACTACCTCAAAAAAATAATAGTTATGATTCATTGCTAATGAATCTCTTTTATTTGACTTTTTGATATAATAATATTTACCATAAATAATATCTCTGATAAATAGATACGCGCATAAAATTTTAAACGATGCAATTAAATAATAAAGAATTAACACACCTCTTTGTCGAGTTTTCAATTTATTAAAAAGACAATTATTGTTGAAATTAAAGTCAAAAATATTTAAATACTTAATAAATTTATTGAAACATAATATATTACATCAGTGCTTATAAATTTTGATACATTTTAATAAAAGAGACTACTTTTAAAAAATTATGCATAATCGTTCACTTTAGAGAATGATTATGCACGTTATAGGTTAATGACGTTTATCCTCTAGATAATTAAATAACACATAACCACAAATATAACCCTAATTTGATACCTCTAACTCGTATATCAACGCATATTCTGTTAATAAACTTAACATTGTAAATCATTAACTGGATAAATTATCTAATACTATAAGTAGTTAAAAGATTTTTGTTGTAAATGATCAAATTAAGAAATTCTATGTGTACAAATTTATAAGAATAATCTTTGAAAATAATTATATATTTTTAACGCGTTTAATTTAAATTTACAATTTTTAAACTAAAGACCAAAAAAATTTATTAAAATAATATCAACGATAAAATTTTATATAAAGTATAAAATTAATTTATAATTACTTTATGAAACTAATATAATTTGGATTATATTGAAAAATAAAGATTAAATTTAAAATTTAAAAATGAAAATTAAATTTTATAAAATTATCTTACATGTGTTCAGTACTTTTTTTTAATAAGAAATCGGCATCATTTTTTATAGGCCACGCATTTATTTTTCTTTTAGTTCTATAACACTTGTGTAAACTATAAAATGTAAAAAAAAAACAGATTTTGTTGTATTCCAATTGGAAAAGATTTGTTTTTTTTTTCAATTTTGTATAGCTTGAATATAATGCGCCATACAATTGGGATTTTTTTTAATCATGATTCCTGAACAATGTGAAGGGGAAAATTGAAAAAAATCTGTACTTAAAATTGAATAACTTTTATTTATTATTCTATTATGCAACTGTATATAAATCAAAGTACACACATTTCGATAGCAAAATAAGTTTTATTGTAACCAAATTATCTTTAAAATTTAATTTTTATGCAGCTTATGTAAATGAAAAACATAGTATTACTTTAATATAAATTATATATTTACGCAATAAGTTTTACTTATTGAATTTATCGAATAAATATTAGTTTTATTTTAATTATTCATAAAGTAACAAAATCAAGTATTATCATTGCTTGTAAGCAAACGATATAAATTATCTAATTATTTATAGTCGCACTAAAAATGTATTTTTTTTACAACATTTTTTAATAAAAACTTAAGCAATATAAATAATTTACACTAAATCCATAAATGGTTAATGCTTTTGATATTATGTGTGCATATTAATCTACTGTATGAAATATACATTGAACGTCAAAATTTAATGTTGTTTGAGGGACGACGTGGGACTGATAATATGGTATCTAAAACCACCCACATAATATGACATGACTTAATTTAATACACCTGTTAATGTATATGCCATTTAAGATTGTTGTTCGTAAAATATTTACCACGAAAATTTCGTAATTTATAAGATAAGTTTATTAAAATAACACATGTATTATAATCATTTTAATCAATCATAGATTCATAATACATTGTAATTCATAACGACTAAAATTTATTTATTAAGTTATCCCAGTGATCTTTACATCATCAAAATTAGAATTTTTAATATTGACAAGTCAATATCAATGCTATCATAAAAAAAATGTTCTTTAACGTTAATTATTGTTTTAAAAAATAAAAAATGAAAATAAAATTGTTCCAATTAATTTTAATAGATAACGGCTGTATGCAAACACATTGACAAATTTAAGTATGCAGAATATTGACGCAAGCAATCATAACTAGGTGCCAATTATTTTTTTAAATATTACCTTACACAAGCAAATAATATTATTAATGAATGGACAAAGTGCTATGGTTATTATTTTAAGTCATTCACAATCTACTTAAGTTTATAAACTAATAGGTTTTAGTTCGCGTTTTATTTATATTGTAAATTCAAATACGTTTTTGTCAATTTTTAATATTATTTTTAGTAGTTTTGAATGGCCAACATTATTATTTATGACAAAACACTCACTATCCTTTACTACATTGAGCTTACCAGCTGTTACAAATAAATTTGATGCCAGAGCGTTAAATTTACCAATTTGCTACAAACAATATCTAGTTAATAAATATAACTACAAGCCAACCTTACACAAATTAAATGATTTTATACGGACATAAAAATAAATAGCGTGTGAACGACATACCATATTAACCTGTAGTCAAATTAAAGCTAAAAAAACTTTTCGTTAGTCAATGTATATCATTTAAGAAAAATATAATAATTATCATTTAATTTATTCATATTTGGTAGAGAATAATTTCAATGAAAGTAGAATAAAAACGCGCAAATACATAAGACTACTTTTAATTTTTAATTTTCAACAAAATAATAATATTTTGTCTTATATTGTTAACCTATAACTTTTATTAAATGTCATTTCATTAATATGTAATGTTCGAAATGGGGAGGATATAGAGGAAAAGCTTCCCTCTACTTTTTTTTTTAATTTACATTTTTTAAATTAATAAATTATTATTGTAGGTTTAATAATTTACTTTTAAATACCCATAGTATTTTCTTTAAAATAAGTAAATAAAATTGTCAAATATTAATATATATTGTTCAACAATTAGTTTGTAAACTAAAAAGAAAAATAGATTAAAACAAACATAGACGGCACCCTTTAACTTATTTTAAACCACTTCAACCACTGTTAATATGTTATAATAGTCACTTTGATATAACGGCTTAAACATCACTATCTCTAAAGATTTTTTAAACAAGAAATTTATATAAATGTTGTAAAATAATTAATTTGTAAAAAAATAATGATTTAAATATTGTAATAATAAACATTTTTGTAATCTGCCATCAATAATTTTGCAATTGATGTGTTTAATTAATAAAAATAATAATAATACTACAAAAAAAAATTGGGTAAGATTAGAAATAATTAATTTTATAAATATGAATATTTTGAAACAATTAAAATTTTTATTTTAAACGGAGAAAAGCGTCTGGCGTTATGTAATAATAAAATTCCAATGAGGCAGAAAGGTAAGTTCCATAAGACTGTAGTGAGACCAACTATGATGTATGGTTCAGAGCGTTGGGCGGTTGACAAGAAAGTAGAGCAGAGAATGAGTGCAGCAGAGACGAGAATGCTTAGATGGAAGAGTGGAGAGACTAAAAAAGATAGANGGAAGAATGATGGAAGAGTGGAGAGACTAAAAAAGATAGAATAAGGAAAGAACATACAAGAGGGATTATAGGTGTAGCATCAATCATGGATAAGATGAGAGAAAATAGACTTAGATGGTTTGATCATGTTATTAGGAGAGAAGAATCTGAAGCTGTAAGAACAGTTATGGAAATGAATGTTAACAGAAGAAGACAAAAGAGATAGACGAATGTCATGTGCGTAGATTATGTAAGAGATTGTGTTAAGTGAAAGTTTACGATATATCTGTAGCCAACCCTGAGTAGTTGGGATTAAGGTAAGGAAAAAGAAGAATTAAAATTTTTTTATATTCACATATCAAATATTAAGTAAAGCCAATGTCGGTATACAAAAAAAACTAACCACAAATTACTTATTAACTGTATAATTATATACCTTTTTTTTTATCAATAAGCGATGACAATTTATATACCACATATATTGAAAAACTAATTTTTTAAATTGCAAATAGTAATTTAAAGACTTCAATTTTATTTTTTACAACTAAAAATGCATTTTTTTAAATATATTAGTAGATAATAATAGTAATTAAAAATTAATTAATTTAAAAGGAACAATAACACATTCAAGAAAAAATAATAAAAAACATCTTCAGGAATTTTTTTTTACGTGATTCCATAATAATTTTTTTGTAAAAAGGTAAGTATAAAGTGCAAAAAATCAAATAAAATAGTTACATGCAATAAGAAAAAATTGTAATTATAGGCAGAATGAAATGTTATATTTCAAAAATGTATCAATTTTACTATTAGTCAGTAAAAAAAGAGCAAAATTCAAAAACATTATGGTTCTTAAGTATCCTAAGTCCAACAGTATTATGAATGATTTTCATAATGATCCATTGAATAACTCAAGTATGATATTCCTACTATACATTTTATTTTTTATACAATTTTACAGAATTGAAAAAAAAACAATAACTTAGTTTATATTAAATACAAAAAAGGAATTTGTTTTTGTGAGTAAAATTCTAATTCAGGGAAGAAAATGCTCTATTTCATAATACTATATAGTAAAAATTGAAAAAGAGAAATTGAATAAGAAAATTATTTTTCAAAAAAGTAATTAATTTTGAAGTTTTATGATGAAGTAGACAATATTGACAAAATTAATTTATAATTCAATTGCTTTTGTAAAATGGAAATTTAAAACACTTATTAACACCAAGACATTTTTTATTTCAAAACATTTTACTATTCATTGAAAATTAATATTTCTATTTAATTCCTTAACTTAACACTTAACAGATAAAACAAAAATAGATCATTTTTTAATAATCATAAAATTACCTGGATGAGGTATCACTAAAGTTTCCACCATCTAGTAATCGCACTTTAGCAAATAATACAGCATTAACAAATGGTACAGCAGTCAAATCTTCCAAGCAAAGATTTACTGTAAACTTATAACGTTTTTTCTTCACCATAAACGACATTGTAACAACTATTTAAGAAAAATAATTATGAATAATAGTAAAACTAATCATGTTTCTATACCAATTGATTAAACTAACTGTTATATTATTATGAAAAAATACAAAATTTTAAAATAGTCTAAAAAATTGTACAAATATTAAAAATTTGTTATTAATTTGTGAGATATTCAAAAATTATTGATATCATTTTAATGTTTTAAAAAAGCATTTAAACTTTTTTCGGAAACGAGTCATAACTCAGTGTGCAAGTATTGCGAATTAATTCTATTTTGCAAAGCTGCACAGATATTATTTGACACAAGGATTAGGTTAATTTTACTAGATAGAATGTTATAAATAAATCATAAAAATATAATGATCTCAAATTCTTAAAAGAACATGTCCAATCATTTCTATACATCAAAAGCAACAATTTTTGATAAGAAACTCAAATAGCTTTACACTACAACAAAAAATTATAAATAATTCAGAAGGTTTACATGTAAACAAGTTATTGAAAGTAGTAGGAAATAATTTTATAGTTTTTTGAGAAAAGTGTACAAAAAAATATTAATACAAAAGTCGCAAGAATTAAAATCTATTATTTATAACTATAACTATAAAAAAAAAATAGTTTTAATAAACGAAAACTTACTAAGCTATTTAAGAATCAATGTTTTTTTAAAGACATTTTTCGAAATTTTTCCCTGCTGATTAGTAACATTCCATAAACGAAATTAAACTATTGCAAACTATCATACATCTAACAATAAATCCAGTCAACTAGGTAACTCAAAAGTTGTTTCAGAAACTACATCACATTAAATCTCAACTACAACCAATATCACAATAGAGAATTTTTAGGGGAAAATTACAATTCGAGGACACCGTTTAAGATTCACAAAAACACCAAACAATTTGACGGTCAGCGCGATGACTACTAGAAAAAATCGAGAGATATCATCGTTGAGAGCCCAACTCACAGTTAAATGCTGACTCGGCGATCATATGTTTTGTTTTAGTTGATTGCATTATAAGCGCTATCTATTGGAGAAAATATTGAAATAGTCATGATTTTATTCTAGCAATCATTTGACTGTTAGGAATGTTGAAAAATTAATTATTGAAAATCATTTTGATATGAAATACTTACAGAATCAGTGATTCCAAAATTAAATTATATATATAAAATTCCTATTTGACCCTTTTAAAAATCCTAACGAGGAATCTGAGCTATTTTTTTATTTTATTAGCTAATTAAATATGTACGTAACTTTGAAACAAAATAAATTAACACCTTTATTAAGAATAAGGGATGAATTAAAAAATACCAAAAATAATTTTCTTAATAAAATTATTATTATAAAAGAAATCGTGGCCAATAATAAAATCTCACCCTATATACAATAACTTTTTATCATTTCTCCGTTAAAATTACAATTCTAAATTATTAAATATCAATTGGGTACAATATTTAATTAATATAATAAGTATTTATTCGCGTAGTATACTTATAAATCATAAAAATTGTAATCAAGATATAATTACAAAAATAGGGTTTTATGTTGCTTTTAGTTCAAAAATTCCTTTTAAAAAATAAACACTATCTACAGATTTGCATCAAAACGTTTTTATGATAGTGATTCCGACACTATCAGATATATTCTATATATATCGCAACTTTGGCATCATAGATTTGATTGGTCAACTGAACGAACAACAGCATTCTATATAAAGGCACGTACACATGGGTGGGCCTGTCCCCCCTTATATTTAATGTGACCCTGTGCCGGCCCCCCCAAATTTAAAATTCAATTATTTTTACAAATTATCAAAACACATGCTAGGCCTTATATACATTGAAATTATTATTAATTTGTGATTAATTTTGGGTAATACAGTTATTATTATGGCTGTATTTACATTTTTATATTCATAGAAAACGTTATTTGAAAAAGATAACGTTCTAGACGTCATAATAAATGGAATAGCAGTTACTCCAAACGTCGTGTAGGTAAATTTTTTTTAACTCTGGTACAACAAATGATAACAAACTACCAAGTATGTGCATTGATTAGAATCTAGTTGACTACAAAATTCGAAAGAGTAATACTCTATGAAAATTTTTTTGATAAATCTTACCGTTAATCTTTTTCTTTTTTTATAATTTAGTAGTTACAATAGGTAATTTATTTGTTTTTGTTAATTTGTTATTTGCGTGCTCTAAATAATAGTAATAAAAATATAACTAAAAAAAGGCAGGAATTGTTTTTAATTTTAAATAAAATAAATTTTACATTGTTTATAATTTATATTTATTTAAAAAATTATTTATATTTATTTGTTATTAGTATTTAGATATAAATTATTTTTTCTTAATAGCTTAAAAGTTGAAATATTAAATCAGCTTATGTTTACATCATTATTTTATTTATCTTTCACAATATGAAAAATTCATCCTGGTATTGAAGATGAAAGTATTTTTTTTTTTTAATTATAGGAACTATCCATTTTTTATAATACTGTAATAATTAGTAAACTTTATACGAAAACAATTTGTTTTTAACCAACCAATGGTAAAATTTTGAACTTGTAAGATTCATAGTAGGGATATTGTCTAAGGAGGAGTGGAGGGAGCCCCCACAAGCTTTTCATGGGAAACAAATTATGGAAAATGATACAAGGGCCCAAAATTGTTGCAGTGGCGTATTTTGAATGATTTCTCGGGTGGTGTCCAACTTTTAATGAACCTCACAAACGAAAATTATAGAAATGTTTACTGACGTAAAAAAAACTTACTATTTTTCTAATTACTATTTTAGGAATTGACAAATAATTTGAAATTTGAAATTTTGGTACTGTTGTATCTTAAAAGAAACAACCCTAGTGTCTTAACTTAAAGTAATAAAAGTTTAATAATAACTCAAATGTATTTATTATAGATATAATTAAACAATGCAAAACATACAAAATAAATATACACTAAAAACACAGTAAAACAATACACAAAATGAAAACTTAATGTCATAAACGTACCACGCGAAAAGAGATTACCTTCGGTGCTCCTGAGGTCCTCTCTCCTTTACGATTCATGCCATTTCGTCTTATATACTAAAATATTTTGTTTTTCTTCTTTTTGCAAAATTAATAATACTATCGTTTTCAAAAATGTTTATAAATATTTAATTCCTGGTCTAGTAATAATAGATCAGGAAATTACAATTAAACGAAACATTACAAAAATGTTTTACTTCCAGCTTTACAAATGATAAACTATATTACAGTATACAGACTGATTTTTTTATCATTACCCACTCATTTACTTGTAGAATAAATATAATTTAAACATTATTTTTGGTTTTCTTTAGTTACACATTATTCTTAAATTATTAACTATTTAAAACTTTTTATGTTCATCCCTTATGCCTTGTAAGGGTGTCAACTTTGTCTTTTTGTCTTTTAAATGGGAACACATATTTTGAATATAATAAAATGTTTGGATTTTTAATTAAATAGTAAATGGCATTTGAATTTTTAATATAACTTTATTAGTTTATTAGATATAAACATTTAAAGTTTCAAATTTTTGAGTTAATATACATGTATAATACACATGATGATATGATTACAAATACAGGTAGCTAAATGGTTTATATGATATCAATGTCGCAGTCACGGATTGTTTATTATCAATTATGACTATCATAGATATACTTTCTGTATTGACAGTTAGTGTATTTATAAACTCACAACAATGTGCCTTACTACCATTGATAATAACAATGCTGTGTACCTGCTAATTTCTTTGAAGTTGTTTTAAACAAAGTAACTCATAACTAAATACTTTATTTATAATAAGTAAACAAATAATAAAATCTCCTTTCAGTATTGATGTTCGTAAATTACTTGCTTTTGATGATGTTTCAGTGTCATTCCACTTCGAAATTATAAATAACGATTCAATTAGGTACACAAAAAGCTCAAGAAAATCATTGACAGCATAAAAACGTTCAACTCATTTAGTCGCACATAATTGTTTTAATGATTTTTTAGTTATACATTTTTGACTTTCTTCGATTTGACTTTTCAACACATCTTTTCGCTTTGGGTATATGAAAAAATCTCTAACTTTAGATGTTGTTCCTAATCAATTTCGTGTTTCTTGTATAGAAGATGAATAAGAAATAGCAAGGTTTAAAACATGAACAGCACAATGAACAAACGTCGCAAGCGGATAACTTTGGTGAATAAGAGATTAAACTCCGTTAAATTGACCAGACATAGAAGCACATCCATCGTAACACTGTCCTCTAAGGTATTTTGTTTCTACACCAAATGAATGTAAACTTTGAATAATAATATATAAACCTTTTCCAGTAGTATCTGTTGTAGGCACAAACTGAAGAATTCTTCCTTGATAATCATATTTTCAACATCTAAANATATTTTCCTTGATAATTATATTTTCAACATCTAAATATCGAACACACAAAGTTACTTGTTCGCTTCCACCAATGTCGGCCGTTTCATCAGCAAGTATTTTGAAACATCTTTGGGCATTTATGTTTGTTACGATTTTATTTAAAATAATTTTATTACAGGATTCAATTATTACATTTTGAAGTGTTTCACTTGTATATTTTATTGTTTCTTCAGCTTCCAAAAATGATTTTAAACGGTCATCTCCTTGGGCACTGTATCTTAATATTTCTCTAAAATTTCTTGATTTTCTTGGATAACTTGTCATTGTCTTGATATATATTGAAGTTACAAAGATAGCCGTTATTGTCAAAAAAAAAAAATAATAATAATAATAATAACAATAAGATTAAAAATGCAAATAATAATTAAACCTATAAGGTAGTTAAACCCTAAAGTTATTTTCGATTTGTTAAAGTCGTTAAAATTAATTCAAATCTCCTGTTATTTTCTTTTATCAGAATTATTATGTCATTAATTCAATTATTAATTAAATTGTTAAACTATATTATATATTCAACTTAATAAATTTTTATGTTGATTATAATCGCATGGCATGATGTTTTTTGTTAATAACTAAATGGAAATAGCAATTTCACATGGGCAAAATTTTTAATAGTTGCAAGAGAATAAATCCAAACGTTGATATTTTATTTCATACAGATTAAATTTTATATGCATAAATATTCTGTTAACCGATATCAAATTTATTCCACTTGAACTTTCATAAAAAAATCTCTATCATTTGTAAACTAATGTAATAAATAAACAAACAAATACAAAAGGTTTTTCTTCAAAATATCTTTAAAATATATATATATATATTTTTTTTTTTTTTTAATTCTCTGTATTATTCTTAAAATATTGTATTCTTTGACCAATAATACAATTAAAATAAATAAGTATTGTTTATACTAAATTTATTTATAATTGGCTTATACATTTTTTTAATGAATTTTTACAATTAAGTTTCCTTGACAATTAGATGTAAATGTTGATTTTATCGACATTTCAGTTCACTTCGTTTTTTCCCGTGAAAAATAAACTATCGTCTTGTGTAATTATTAAGATTTATTTAATTAGTTATTGATATGGCAAGTGAAAAAAATATTTTTGGTCAAACAAATGAATCAAACTTACATAAGGTCATACGCAGAGTTGAAGAAATATGGAATCGTCGTTTCATGCATTCCAATTGTGTTTTAAATAATACAAATAAAGGACAAATATCAAAAAAGTCATCTAAAGATGGAAGAATTATCTGTAAACACTATTAAGATTAATAATTAAACTAACTATTTCGAATAGAGAAAAAGTTTTTTAATATAAAATATAAGAAAAATTAATAATAAGTTCTCTTATTCATATATAACAATAATTCAGTCGCTTTACTTTAATTTAACTATTTTAATATTAAAAAACTTTTTCGAAATTGATTATTTAATTAATAATTATTAAAATTATATTCAATTTGCAGCAATT